ACTGTGCGAGAGAGAACGAACAGTAAAAACAGATTATATCCTTTCCTACGTGAGCTATACCCCCCACTTCTCGAATACGCAATCTAGATATACTATGTCTATGGTGTTGCTAGACTCAAAACCTGGCCCCGCGATTGCTATTGAACGCTCGCGAACCTCCTATAGACCACTGTCGCCTATTGCTGCTAGTAGACGTCACACGTTACGGGTAAGATGGTGGCCGTGACGTCACGTAAATGTCTACAGAAAAACGTGCCAGGTGTTGGCGAGACTCGAACCTGGGCCCCGCGGTTGCTATCGAACACTCCAACCTCCTATAAACTACCGTCGCCTATTGCTAGTAGACGTCACGTTTACGGGTAAGATGGCAGCTGTGCCGTCACGCACAATCCAGAGAAAAACGTATCGGGATGTAAGGTAGGCTCGAACCTGGGTCCCGCGGTTACTATCGAACGCTCCAACCTCCTAGACCACCGTCGCCTATTGCTAGTAGCAGAGAGGAACGTGAGAGCGGCCAACACGGCGTTTTCGGCGACACTGACTTTCCATACTGGGAAAGGGCGCCATCTGCATCCATTTTGAGAGAGGAATTATGATGTTACATCCATTTTCAGGTTTCAGCGATAAAACCTGCATGTGGTGGCAGTACGTGCTACATCCACTTTCAAGCGGTTTATGTCCGTGCTGCAACTACAGTTGCCATTTCTATGCCAGACAATAACTGCGTTTACACGGCGAAGTTAATCTGGATTATTAACAACCGTAGTTAGTGAATTCTTTGATTCGATTGGTATATTCTTTTAGATTTAAAAATATACTCTAATCAGATTCGAGACTGCACTAACTACGGTAGTTACTAAGTCGAAGTTAGAAGCCGTGTAAACGTAGTCTATGCCCGGAGGTCTAAATAGAGCAAGGACGAGGGGGGAGGAGCAGAAAAAATAAAAGTACGTATTAAAAGTTAAATCTTCGAATACATGTTGCCGTATTAAAGTCTCCTCTATAATAAACGATTTGACACGTCTGGAGACGCATGATGTATCGTTGCCCGCGTTTCGTTCCCTTCGTCCTGCTTCTCAATTCAACATCCCGTCTTCCGTCTGCTCCGGACATTCCCTCGTAGCACTGATAGTGGCCGCAGGTGAGCATTCGATCGACTCGGAAGAGCACGTGTTAATTAACGCGACGAGACTCCGATTATAAATATCCCGCGAGTCGACGAAATATCTGAACTTTTAAAAAAAGCATCAAAGAAAGTCACGTTGATGTTGTCATGGGTGAAATCTCACCCTAGTATATATTTTTTTATTTCCGAAATAAAAAAAGCCAAACGGATGCAATTAAATGTTATTTATCATCATTGAATATTAGATGAAAAGTAGAAGAGTTATTGTCCGCAGCGGATAATCTAACATTTAATAAGAACGAGATAAAATTCGCATGGGGTGAAATTCCACTCTTTAACGCTATCATGACCTTTAATTATTCTTCGAAAACGGCGTCCCAACAACTTTGACACTCTGTACAATTAGTTGCTAATACATTTTCTAATCGTACACATTCGTCTTTAATTAACATAAAGCTAACAAATGTCCGATGCTTCGACAGAATAATTGTCTTTATTTTCAGTAATCAATGAATAGTATATCAATGTCGCATACAGTTGAAAGGCCTCCTCGCATTCCCCTCGTCGTTCCAAAACCTTCGACAAAAGAAGAGACGTCCAAGGGCAAGTCTCTCTTGCTTCAATCGCCGCCGAGACCCGCAATGTTTACATCGCGCCGAATGTGTTGATCCGTTCGCGAGCGACGACACTTTTTGCCCTTCGTATTAATATTCGCACGCCTCGTGTATTCCACCTTATTCCATCAGCAGCAGCCGTGTGCGACGCGCTCGTCACTTCTGTCTCGTGTAATAGAAAGAAATGTATCTGGTCGGTCCATGAGATACTCAGTCGGCACCGCGTCGGCATCGCGTTGATTAACCGCACAGTCGAATTGCGAGTATCGGCATTAGAAGCGTGAGCGAGTGAAATCCGAAGGACTCCAGTAGAAGCAGGGGAGCAGGACGCCGGCAGCGAAATATCATGTTTCCAGGTATGTGGAATCATTTCTTATGCGGGAGGTCTCCGATAACGAGAGCGGACGTTTGACGAATTTTCCGGGAATAAGAAGTCGTAATTTCGCGCTCGGCATTCACGATCCGTCATCATCCGACTAGTAATCATGACTTTATGAATCTGCAATTACTCTCGTCAATCTCTGTCTGTCTATCTATTTATTGCGTTGTTATATACAAGAGATATTGATCCAGACAGAGACGGATAACGGTCCATGAACGCGGATCTCTAATTCATCATGTTCTCGATCAAACATTCTGAATAATTCCCAACAGTATACCGGTGAGTATACCGGTCTTATGTAAAATATTCAACGTCATACCGCTTCTTAGACTGCGACCTTTTTTGTTTTCGGTCAGCGTTTCTTTCAAGTCTGTTTACTCTCGTTACGGGATCTAAATTTAAATGTCCATTCATGAAAAAGTATTTTCGAGAGCACACAACTGTTGTCTCCGCTTCTTGTTGTCATTTTTTTCGTCATCTCTTTTAAGAGCTCCAAATCCTATCTAGACTTTCAATGTCAATGAAAAAAAAAAAAAAAACCGTAGCGAATATTCTCCATTCATCCCGACCAAACATTCTTTCTCTACCGCAGCTTATCAACCAGGAACGCTAAATTTTTGTTCCAGAAGTTGCGGAAAGCAAGTCCGACGGACACGGATGCCGCACCGGAAGATCCGGTTCGGGCAGAGCAGGGTCGACCGGAAGGTAAAGTTTACAAATTTCCTACACATTTGTGTTCAACCCTTTGCAATCTTTGCCTTTGCAACTTGTTCCTCATCAGCTCTCTTGAAAGCTGCATGTCTCATTTAAATTTTCAATGTTGGAACAAAAATATAAAGATAAAAATCCCATATCAAAATATTTCCGTATTTTCGATTCGTCTCGATCAAAGATATTCTCTCTCTACCGCAGGTTATCAACCGGGGAAATTATTTTTCTGTTTCAGTTGTTGCGGAAAGCAACAGCAATCCGGCAGATGCTGATGTCATACCGAAGGATCCGACTCGGGCTAAGCAGAGTCGGCCGAAAGGTAAAGTTTACAAGTTTCCTACACATCTGTGTTCAACCCTTTACGATCTTTGCCTTTGCAACTTGTTCCTCATCAGCTCTCTTGAAAGCTGCATGTCTCATTTAAATTTTCAATGTTGGAACAAAAATATAAAGATAAAAATCCCATATCAAAATATTTCCGTATTTTCGATTCGTCTCGATCAAAGATATTCTCTCTCTACCGCAGGTTATCAACCGGGGAAATTATTTTTCTGTTTCAGTTGTTGCGGAAAGCAACAGCAATCCGGCGAACGCAGATGCCGCATCGGAGGATTCGATTCGGGCCAAGCAGAGTCGGCTTGAAGGTAAGTTTACAAGTTTACTATAGTCCTCTGTTTGATCCTTGGCGATCTAGAGCTGGGATATAATTTCCGGCTCGACTTGAATTACGATCGCAGAGGGTAAACTACTCTTTTACTCGCCCGCACGTTGGTCAAATCTGATGAGCGAATGTGAATTTTTTGTTACAGAGTTGAAGCGGAACGTGGCTGGCTCTGACTGCAAGCCGTTTCGGTGAGTAAATACAGAATGAAAAGAGAAACAAAATTCCGCATGACGGATGTGGGACTAGATAAAATATCGTTCGAGTCAATGCGAATTGCAAATAGATTTTTGCATGTGTATGTTTGTGACGTTGAATAAAATATATTGCTCGAAACAATCAGGGGATTACTTGATCGATAGTCTGCATTACATACGAGATTTAAAATACCGAATGATTCTCTTTTGATGTTCAGTCATTTGAATAAAAGATATTCATATCTACAAACGCGATACGGTCATCAGCTACTTTACTTTCATTTTCCAGCGGGCCGCAGAATTATTTAACGACAATTATTTGACAATATTCAATTGTCCGTGTAAAATATATTCATACGCATAAATGCCGAAACCGTTAGCTACTCTTTTTTTATTTCCAAAACAGGCTATAGAATTATTTGGCAATATTGTCCATTAATCACGATCCCTATTGTCTCGAGTAGCATATAATGCACGCAGAAATTGCGCCAGCGCACGCCGAGGTTGAAGTAACCTCGCTTGCGTGCCTTTGAATATCGCAACCGCGGTTATCAATATACGCGTTTATATCCGCACTGCTAACAAAGAAAGCTTAAATTCTCATTTCACCAAAGTATCACGAACGTAAGCTTCGTCGTGACGGAACCATCATGCGTTAAAACTTTGCCCCGCTCTCTCACTCTCTTTCTTTTTGCGCTCCCTCGGAGTGACCAGTTTCTAATTGTCTAATCTTTCCTCGCATGCATTCGCGAATATTCTCGTAGATATCGATATTCCCGCATTTTCGCGACTTTTCAGGCGCGATCGCGAAAAGCGCTGTAAACAACCGTTGGAGTCGATAAATTTTCACACAGTTCTTACTCCTCACCGATCGAGTTTATAGAGTTCGTTTCGCAGCGCGTAAAAAGTTTCCACCGATGTCGACGTATAACGTTCGTTAATTGACGCAAATATAGCCGCTCTAATACAAGTATCGACCGCGTCGCGGATTGTATGGTAAAAGTGTAGCAATCAACGTGGAACGCTCTGCAAGATGGATGCTGCGCGACATGGAGAGCGGCAGCGGACATGGACGGACATTGGTGGATCTGGTTGGATGCAATGGGACATCATCAATATCATCATCGGTGAGCGTTTGACTCAATGCTCGCAGAGAGCTCTTTTATTATTACATTGTGCATGCCGCAAATTTGCATTGACTTTTGTAACGAAAAATATATTCCATGAATTATTGCCATATATTATGGCCTTATATTATTGCCATATATTGTTGCCGTATATTGTTGCCATATATTATTGCCACATATTGCTATGTATTATCGCCATATATTATGGCCACTTGAAATCGCGCAAACAATCCAGAAAACTGAATTTGCCGATAATCGCAAAGGCGCGCGGCAGACGTCGCGGACGGATGACAGCAGCCCATCTCAGGGCTGCCCAATAACAATGTTCTTGCTGCAGTTTAACTTTAAACTACAGCGGTCTCCAGTCGCAGGGAACTTTCTATCGCGGACTAACCCCTCGAGCGGAATGTTCCCGAAAAGCATTCTTGACATAAACGCTGGTTATAAGCGAACTTGCCTCGTTAGGACCTCGTCGCGGTATCGTTGTCGCGAAAAATATGGAAGAAAGGAGCTAAACATCCGCACTGTTGGGAAAAGGGGAGCGATGGCGTCCCTTCGCGAGTAGAATGTTAAGCCCTTGCGACTGCGAGCGTTAAATTCCACCGCGGCTGCGAACGCCCCCCGACTAGTTTCTTCGCGGAAACTGAATCTTCATAACTCGCGCTTGATCGTGCGTTGAGACTCTGTCGAAAGTGGGATATTGAAGCGGGAGTTGATGATATAAGCGTGACAAAGTAGTCGCGCATTTTATGATCGCTCTTTAAAATTGGGACGCTTCTTTCGTCGGTGATAAAGACGGGAAGAAATCAGAGCCTGCTGCCGATGAGATCGTAAAAACCGCATGGATTTTCCTTCTATAGCTGCTCCCGCGGTTTATGTTTAATCCGCATTACGATCATTTTTGCGGATAAGTATGGGGAAAGTGACATCCGCGGATAACCTTTGTCCTCTGAACGAAACGTCTCGTAAAGTTTTCCAGCTCTTTTACGCAAGTTCGTCGCTCGTGCTTGATAAAAAATGTCGCGGGATGTGCCTATGAAAAATGTTGCATGTGGAGAATACTACTGGAGCGCACGTATCATCTTGAAATGAAATACCGCGAAGGCAACTATTCTCGTTCCTCCAACTTGCGCTTTATAAGTTTCGTGATCCGTGAAAATTTCAAGATCAGATACTGCTTGTTTGAGGGAGATTTTTAGACATTCTCTGTGAGAACCTGAAAAGCGAGTATCGATATATTCGAATGATTCGAGATGCAAATCCAAATGTGTTATTTATATGCATACGAGCGTGCGATTGGCTGAGTCTTTTTTTGGGGACGAGTTTTGTCGTTTCAAATCTCGCAAGAATCGTGTGAAGAAAGTTTGAGCTAATTACACGTTCACGTGTGTGAAAACAACATACTCGAATTTGCAGCGACGACACAGCGGGAATATTTAGCGGGTCTATCTTGAAGTACTATCTTGAAGTTTCCGATTAGATTATATTTCTCGTCAGCCGTCGTTCTGTCGCCTAGGCCCGTCTCTTTCGCCCGGGTGCCTCACCAGCTTATTTGTGTTTTACTTCGCCGACGGCTTGTTCTCCTTCTTCTTCTTCTTCTTCTTGCACGCTGGCAACTGTCGTTAGATCACGTGGGCCGCTCTTGTCTCGAGCAGCTTCGTTGCTTTTTCGATACCATCTCGGCGCGTGCTCATTCATTACACTTCTGTAATTAATAGCTCGGTTGTTGCGTACATCGCAAAATAGCATGGGAATTTTATATTTATCTTAATCCGTTCTATGTCTTCGTGAATTCCTAGGAACGTGGAATTTGTGAAACATTCTGTATCTCGTTATTCGTAAGATTTTTTGTATTATTAGGTGCGCAACTAAGTTCCCGCTGTTTTTCAAGAGATTGCTCCAGTAGTAAGTGCTGGTCGATTGTGACATAACCAAAACGTCATGAACCAAGCTTAGACACATGGTAAACAAACTGCTTTGACACATTAGTGATTTTGTTTTTGCGTCATATACTTTTGGTTGTGTGAAAATGTCTTATTTTGTGCCAAATAATCGTCATTTGCGGGAAGTGTTGCTTTTCTTCTTTCATTCGAAGAAAACGGCGGCTGAAGCGCATCGAGAACTTCAAAAAGTTTACGGAGATACTGCTCTAAGTGAAACAACGTGCCGTGATTGGTTCCGTCGCTTCAAAGACGGTGATTTCGATAGTGACGACCGTTCGCGTGAAGGAAGGCCAAAAACCTTCGAAGACGCTGAATTGGAGGCATTGCTCGATGAGGATCCGTGCCAAACGCAAAAAGAGCTTGCTTCAGCATTAGGAGTTACCCGCCAAGCCATTTCCAAGCGATTGCATGCGTTGGGAATGATTCAAAAACAAGGAACTTGGGTTCCTTATGATTTGAAGCCAAGGGACGTTGAGCGTCGTTTTTCGCCTGTGAACAACTGCTCCAGCGGCAAAAAAGGAAGGGTTTTCTTCATCGCATCGTTACGGGTGATGAAAAATGGATTCATTACAGCAACCCAAAGAGAACAAAATCATGGGGATTGCCCGGTCATGCTTCTACGTCGTCGGCTCGGCCGAATATTCACGCTGCGAAGGTTTTGCTGTGTATTTGGTGGGACCAGGGCGGTGTTATTTATTATGAGTTGTTGAAACCTAACGAAACCATCACTGGGGAACGGTATCGAACTCAATTGATGCGATTGAGCCGAGCACTGCGCGAAAAGCGGCCACAATACGAGCAGAGGCACGAAAAAGTGATTCTATAGCATGACAACGCTCGGCCTCACGTTACCAAACCCGTTAAAACCTACTTAGAAACGCTCAAATGGGAAGTCCTACCCCACCCGTCATATTCCCCAGATATTGCGCCGTCCGATTATTACTTGTTCCGTTCGATGTCACATGGTCTGGCTAATCAGCAGTTCCGCTCATATGAAGACATCTCAAAATGGCTTGATTCGTGGATAGCCTCAAAAGACGAACACTTCTATCGTGACGGTATTCGAGCTCTGCCAGAAAGATGGGAAAAAGTTGTCGCTAGCGATGGGCAATATTTTGAATGATTCATTTGTAACCATTTTTTCACAATAAAGTTGCATTTTCATCAAAAAAACAGCGAGAACTTAGTTGCGCACCTAATACATTTGCTCTTCCCCTTTATGTCGTGAAAGATTGAGCACGTCGTTATAAGTCCAATAAACCCATTTCATCATACATGGGTATTCGTTTCGATATTATTTTACGAAAAAGTGCACCCTTTATACTCAGATTTTCGTAACGACCATCGTCCCCGATAATCTCGTCGATATCTCTTATATTTTCCTTCTCGCACAACACTATCGGCAACACCGTGAAGGAAGCTATCATTCCATAAGCAGCTCTTTCCTTCAAGGAGTCTTTCAGTTTTTCTATGGTAGGCGGCTGCGTTTTGCAGCCAATTTCTTTCATAGTGCACGATAGTGTTTTAAGGTACTCGTCCAGCAGGACATCTTTGTTATCTTCAATGGTCTCCACGGAGGGACTTGTGCTGAGGAAATAGAGGAGATCGATCGCTGGCGATGTGTAAACAGCCAATTGAAAGTCCACCTGCAATATCAAACGAAGTCACGATCGATCGATCTCATGAGCGCTCGGCAATTGAATTAGAAATGAAATCTGTGTACGGGAAAAGAAGTGGCACCCGTGTTTAGGAAATCGAGAGTTTACGTAGGCGACACGGGCAGATAGGTGGTGGATATATCTGAATTCGATCAAGCCGAATTTATTGCATTATTCATAATACACTGCTGCATTTTGAGTCGTACCGCATATCATCGTTCATTCTTTTTGTCTCGGTGCCGGTGAAGTCAATGTCGCAGTCTTATTTTCGCTTGTAATTGAAGCGCGCGTTGGTGATTATTTTACAATTTTGATTCATACCGAGATGATAGATAATTGAAAGCAAAACATCGTATTTTGGGTATCTTATCGTTTATAGCACACTTCTATGGCGTACTCACAAAAATATGATCGATTGGTTTTCCAGCTTCATTGTACTTGAACAGCATGTTGTTTACCCAGAAATCTCCGTGGTTGATCACGCAGAAATCGCCTTCGCGTGGCTTGCTTACTTTCGTCCCTATCTCGTACGTTCTACTGGCGATGTTAACAATCTTTTTTGTGTATCTAATGAAAGAAATATGTCTCATAGAAAGAGCTTCACATGGTACCTCAGGAAGATACAATCGAGGAAAGGAAAAGAAAACGTTTAATATTGCCGATAAATTGCGTTTGCACGCGAGTCTTACTTTTGGTCCATTTCCGGCCAAGTTTCTATTTCTTTTCCTAACGACTGAACAGTGTTCTTGAAGTAGTCACGAAAGTTCTTCGGGTGCTCGGGATTGAACGTTCCACTTACATACAATTGTTTTTGACTCGGCTCCTAAGTATCAAAACATTTGCTTAAGTTTACGTAAGCTTGGTGACACCTCGCTGATATCTCACTGATATCTCCGATTATCGAAAATTATCAGATTACCAGAGCAAACTCTATTGATAAATAACGACAAGATCGGTATTTATATACAGGGTGTCTCAAAAGTAACGGACCACTCCAATAACTCTTCATTATTGAAGTTTCAAGGAAAATGATCTGATAAAGTTATAGGGATTTAAGTGAGCTACCTTATGATGACCTTGACTTTGACCTTGACCTCTGTTTTCAAGGTCATTTGAAGGTCAACTTGCGTTTTTTAAATGGGAACCCTTATTTTTTATTACACTTTTTTTCTACTAGTTAATTTGAACAACTTTTGTCTAAAACATTTTTTTTATTTGTCTAATATTTTTTGAGATATTTGAGGAAAACTTGGTAACTTTTTCAATATTTAACTTATGATATCTCGCTAATTATTTGTCAGAAGAAAAATTGTTACTAGATTTTTTACTTTATTTAGTGAAGAATATATTGTTACAATAGTGCCCTGACTTTCGTTAACTTACTGACTTTTGAAAATTTCAAAACCATTAAATTAACAAAAATCAGGGCGCTATTGTAACAATATATTCTTGAGACTAAATAAAACAAGAAAGTCTAGTACCACTTTTTCTTCCGACAAATAATTAGCGAAATATTGTAAGTTAAATATTGAAAAAGTTATCAAGTTTTCCTCAAATATCTCAAAATATGTTAGATAAATAGAAAAATGTTTTAGGCAAAAGTTGTTCAAATTAACTAGTAGAAAAAAACAGTGTAATAAAAAATAAGAGTTCCCATTTAAAAAACGCAAGTTGGCCTTCAAATGACCTTGAAAATAGAAGTCAAGGTCAAACTCAAGGTCATTATAAGGTAGCTCACTTAAATCCCTACAATTTTTATTCAGATCATTTTCCTTGAAACTTTAATATTGAAGAGTTATTAGGGCGATCCGTTACTTTTAGGACAACTTGTATGATGTGCAAATTTTTCTTTACTTGGCTGTTTCTTCCCCTTCTTATTCAACATCGAAGCACGCGTTGCTCTAAAGAGTAATAACGGATATTGAACTTTGGTTATTCTCTGTCAGACATACCGGCTGGATCATCCACCGTGTAGTTTCAAACTTCCATTCGCCTGTACAAAATCGCAGCAGTTTATGATGATCATTATGCCGCACGCATTATTACCGCGTATACGTATGTGCCGTATCAAAGTTTAGGGTCGCGAAACACGATGTTCATCTTGGATGGGTTCAGTTTTATAGAGATTGTTAACGATCGCATTAATTTTTCCTTATCCCGACGCATATTTACTCGCATCATTTTAAATTTACGGTTCAATATTGCTAATAATTCACTCCACGTTAAGTATCATATTTCGTCTTATTGTACCAGGTCTGTAAATATGAAACCGGAATTTGCCCATAAATGGCCCTAGCTGTCAATGTAGTTACCGTCAAACCGCGTCATTGGCGCCATTTCCATTTGTTGACATCTGACAAACTTTTTCAACTCACAACAATACAAGTTTCATATAACAGCGTAGTTTGTAATAGCGTTGAACATATCGAATTTTGTGCCTGCAAGCTACGATTTGCGGACAGCATTGATTTTCTGTTACCATTTGAAGAAAACTGCTGCAGAATCGCATCGAATGCTCGTCGAAGCTTACGGTGAGCATGCTCTTGGTAAATCACAGTGCTTTGAGTGGTTTAAAAAATTCAAACGTGGCGATTTTTATGTGAGAAACGAACAACGTGGAAGACCATCGAAAAAGTTTGGAGACAGCGAATTGCAAGCATTATTGGATGAGGATGACGCTCAAACGCAACAATAACTCGCGGATCAATTAAATGTGACACGAGAAGCCGTCTCCATATGTTTGAAAGCCATGGGAAAGATCCAGAAGATGGGAAAATGGGTTCCACATGAACTGAATGAAAGACAGCAGGAAAACCGAAAAACCACTTGTGAAATGCTGCTCGCCAGGTACAAAAGAAAGTCATTTCTCCATCGAATTGTGACTGGCGATGAAAAGTGGATATATTTTGAGAATCCTAAGCGTAAAAGGTCATGGGTGACTTCAGGCGAACCATCGACATCAATTGCAAGGCCAAATCGCTATGGACGGAAGACAATGCTCTGTGTTTGGTGGGATCAGAAGGGTGTGATCTATTATGAGTTGCTAAAACCTGGCGAAACCGTTAATACTAAACGCTACCGATAACAAATAATCGATTTGAATCAAGCTTTGCATGAAAAACGACCAGAATATCAAAAAAGGCAACACAAAGTGATTTTGCTTCATGATAATGCACCATCACACACAGCAAAAACTGGTCAAGGAAACGATTGAGGCGTTTAGTTGGGAAATACTTTCGCATGCGGCTTATTCACCAGACTTGGCTTCGTCCGATTACTACTTATTTGCATCGATGGGACATGCACTTGCTGAGCAGCGCTTCATTTCTTACGAAAATGGCTCGATGACTGGTTTGCCTCAAAAGAGCAACAGTTTTTTTGGCGTGGCATCCACAAATGGACAGGTGGGAGAAATGTATAGCTAGCGATGGGCGATACTTCGAATAAAATATTTTTTATCATTTTCATACAATAAACGTGTATTTTCTATACAAAAATTCCGGTTTCATATTTACATACCTGGTATAATATACAGGGTGCACGATTTATCTGAAGACATTGAAATATCTCGAGAACTATGCATTGGATAAAAAAAAGTGGTTAATGAAAGTTGTTAGTCTCGAAGGGGGACATCCAATGATACCAAACTCGACCTCCCACCTCACCCCCTGGAGGTGGGGGTTAGGGGCAACTTTGAAATCTTAAATGGAAACCCCCATTTTTTATTGCAGATACGGATTCTACGCCACAAAATACGTAAATTTTGTCCGGAACTTTTTTTTTGATTCGTGATAGATGGCACTGTAATCGCAAAAAATTATATTTTCCGCAATTCTCCAGAAATGATCATTGGATTGAGAAATAAAAAATACCTGTTCAATATTTTTAAATCAACAAGTGCCAACAACTCGTGAAAACATGGTAGAACGCATAAGAAACGCTTGCGCTGAAACTCCCGCAGATATGCTTCTATCCTGTGCACAGTCATTTGAAAAAAGGATCAATAAGTGTATTGAAGTTGAAGGTAAAATTTTCGAACACTTACTCTAATTAATTGAACAGTGAGAGGCAAGGGGACTCACATTAAAAAAGCACCCCGATCTGTGAGAGGCAAGGGGACTCACATTAAAAAAGTACCCGAAGGGAATATAAAACTATTACGTCCTCGTCGTTGTTCCTGTGTAACGCTAAAAGTAGTTTCTCGGAAAAATTCAACGCTATCTATCACGAATGAAAAAAATTGTTTCAATAAAAATTTCACGTACAATCTAATTCTGCAATGAAAAATATGGGTCCCCATTTGAGATTTGAATGTTATCACCCACTCTACCCCGAGAGGATGGGGGGGAATAACTTTTATTATGTTCTTTAAAAATATTGAACAGGTATTTTTTATTTCTCAATCCAATGATCATTTCTGGAGAATTGCGGAAAATATAATTTTTTGCGATTACAGCGCCATCTATCACGAATAAAAAAAAAAGTTTCGGATAAAATTTACGTATTTTGTGGCGTAGAATCCGTATCTGCAATAAAAAATGGGGGTTTCCATTTAAGATTTCAAAGTTGCCCCCAACCTGCACCCCCAGGGGGTGGGGTGGGAGGTCGAGTTTGGTATCATTGGATGTCCCCCTTCGAGACTAATAACTTTCATTAACCACTTTTTTTTATCCAATGCATAGTTCTCGAGATATTTCAATGTCTTCAGATAAATCGTGCACCCTGTATAACACAAAATACTCCAAAATATGTATAAAAATATATAAAATAATCATGTATGTATGTATCTGCTGCCGACAAAATAATATTAACAAAAAACTTGACGTTGCATACAGTAATAAAGTCGTACAATACGAGCGGAAAAGTAATTGAATACATGTGATAACTTTTGCCGTCAAAAGATAAGATAAATTGCTGAGTAAGTTAAAACACGAACGAAAGAAAAAAAAAACAAATTTTATAAAGATGGAAAAACAGAAATATTTACAACATTGGTGATAATAAATTTTCGTTGTTCGATATTTAAGGCTTTCACGTTGCGCATAAATGTGATTGATGAATTTGTTTAATTTTCGATAATTGACACAAGTCACACGAGATTCATTATTGTTGAAAAGATGTCTCAATGTTTCAAGCTTGATTTCGTGTACGATCATAATATTGACAAGATGCTCGTTACATGCGGATTTAAATCACTCGCAGTTTTATATTTACGTCAAAGGAATTTTTACGAAGTTTTAAAGCGGTTTTAATGCAGTTTGAACTTAATTAGGCCTAAAACTTGTGTAACGTAACCTTCTCATATCCATGTTAGATTCATATTATGTTGTCGATGGGAAGAAAGTTAGATGGCAAGATGTGTATTGCGTTGTAAACACGTTGATTTGGATTGCGTAATTTACCTTTTCATAAACAGCCACAGATGCCGCGTGAAATTTGGCCAATCCTTGAAGCGCTAATATACAGTGAGCCAGGTCGAGACCAACCTCCCGATCGGCCATACGGAAACCGAGAGGCGCGAGGTCCTGGAGCATCAGAAGCGGTATGTCTCTCTTCTGTGTGTACAAACATTTGGCGCTTAGGAGATGTTTGAATTTCAACAACTGATTCATTTTGATCAAGGTGTTTGACATCATCGACATTTCCGTATCGAAGAACGACGAATTCAGGATCTGCAAATTTTTCAAAATTAATTTGAATTTTCATTCGGCATATTTTTGAATTTTCATTTGTGCAAATTTCGACATTGCAATCCGGTATAATAGCAATGTCACGATGTGAGCAAACGTTAATGTTAATAATACGCACGCATACATCTATGATTGATTTTAATAAGTCTCTTATTTAGAGTAGGCATCTATGATTGATTTTAATGAGTCTCTTATTTATAGTAAACAAATGCGGCTTGATAGGAATTGAATAGGCTTAATATTTATTTGAGTCAGACAAGACGGCAACTTCATTCAAAATGCGAATCGCAAAATGTCGAGTCATACAACAACTCTTGAATTATTTAGACAAAGTCTAAATGTCTCATTATTTTTCCTTTTTTTTGCATGTTTGCTGTTGAGTCAGTTCTGTTAAACTAATCACCGATGTCTATTGACTTCGGTTCTATTGATTACGTTCGTCATTCCACTTTGAGGAAATATCTCGTGTTGTTTGAACCGTTTGAAAACTTCGAATTGCAAGGATTTAAATGCAGATCTCGCATATTGACACAATCTCTCCGCTCTCCCCTGAAAAATCATACTTAATTTTTGCGTTAATTGATTCTTTTTAAGATCCGGCGAATATAAAGAGATGTTCAGGTTCGGCCCTTGGCTAAGGCAACATTTTAACGTGCGAATCTTCAAAGGAATTAATTAACGCGAAATTAAATAATTAGACAGAGAGAGAGAGAGAGAGAGAGAGAGAGAGAGAGAAAGAGATGGGAATGTGGAATTTTAATATTAATATAATTGGGACTCAGAAGATAGTTTGACGTGGAAGATTGATTCATCGCGCGTGTTACAAGTCCGGAGAAAAATATTCATACGAATATCCATCCAGCGAGCAGCTCTCAGAGCCATGTATTATTAATTAATGCGGCTACTAATCATATTATTAATTACAAATTCAGTTTTGAGAATTTAATCCGATTCGATTTGACACTGGAGACAACATTGATCTCTGAAGGATTGAGCTCTGAGAAATGTATGAGAAGAAACACTCACGAGATCCTTGCGTATCCCGTCGTTGATAGGCGCGATCTTGACGATGATTGATTTTTTCTTCGTGATCTTACGACCGGCCTGATCTTGCGTGTATTCGACTAAAGCCCTAATCATATCACTGCCGTAGTTGTCACCCTTATTCGTAGCCGGTTTCGTGAATATATCAATCACGTTGATCGAGTTATCCTCCTCCGATTTTCGCAGAGCCTTTTGCACGAAGCATACATTCAGCCATTCCGGTGTCTCTACGGGCATTTCTGAAATTGGAGATGGAATTGGAGAATTTTCCCGACAAATCATTGTTCTTTTCGCCATGTCACGAAACGCGAAAACGATTCTTTACGATAACTTATTGTTCGCGGTGAGATTTATCACGTTTCCTTTCTTCCCGGCTAACTCTTTCTCTCTACCAATCCCCCCTTTCCTCTCATTCTGGCCTTTCCACACTCTTCTACGGGCCAACCCGCCCGCCGTTTTTCGCTCGTTTTACCGTCGTTTCTTTCTTCCCGTCCGTCGATATTCAAGACGAACATTTCTGTGCGTCCGAGATCGCTGTTTCAATTAAGAGCATAATAATAGGCTGCCGCTTTTCCCTTCGCTCCGCCGGCCGATAATGAGCATACGTATTCATCTTGTCGAGATGTTCCGTCGAAACGTGATCGAGCTGCGGATATTTGCGAGAAATTTACGACACGTCTAGCGTGCCACGATTGCGTATGTACTTGTTGCGCCGAATGATGTCCACTATATATATCTCACCTTGATGAGTGTTCTCAGAAATGTTTCTCGCACTTTTCTCAAATTCAAGCGCAACGTATGCGACAGAGTGCGCTGGCGTGTGGATGATGGCTTGAATCTTAATCGCGACTGACTAGAGACTGAGCGCCAGTGATGACAAGTCGTGGGAGAAAGTCACGCACGCGTATTGAGCAAATACTTGGTCTGTTCTTTGTAGCTGCACTACTGAACTGGTGCAATAAGCTAGAATGAGAAAACCTATATTTGTCTCATTTTAACTTATTGCACCAGTTCAACAGTGCAGCTACAAAGAACAGACCAACTGTGATAGCTTCACGGACGTATATATTTGAAGGTATTGTTAGGTCCCCACTATGAAGGAAATGTGAAGGAAATTATAGGGAAGGAAAAAAGTTCCTGTTCAATAAATATAATGTAGTTTAAATATGAATAATAAAAGATAATAATAAAATTTATTAATTTGTAATTTTTTTACATCTGCAGCCAATATATTATATTCACATCGCATATTATATTCTTATCGCACTTATTATCATAGCTTCCTTTTAACTTATCACTACATTTATCGCTACACTTATTTATTATAATACTTTACGGTAAATATTTACCTATAGGGACCACCTCCCGATTTCAAAAATTTTAGTTGTATGTTATGTAGATCATCACTCTGAGTAATGCTGCAAGACTTTAGTCGGCGGTCACTTTATTTATTTTTATTAAAAAGTTATTAACAAAAAAAGTTTGGTATATACATAAGTTGCAAGTGCGTTTAGCACGACGCGCTATGCGCGCCCCATCCCCACTCCCCGATATTTACCCGAAAGTGATTGAAAATAAACAGTGGGAAGGAGGTGAAGAGCGGCAGGTGAGATGGGGATGGGGTGCGCGTAGCGCGCCGTGCTAAATGCACTTACAACTCACGTATATACCAAACTTTTTTGTTAATAACTTATTAATAAATAGTAACCAACGGCTAAAACCTTCCCGCATTACTCAGGGTGATGATCTACATAACATATAACTAAAATTTTTGAGATCGGGAGGTGGTCCCCATAAGTAAATATTTACCCACTTTACATTATGAATACATAATCTAAGTACTCGCGGGAAAAACGCAGGGCAACTGTAACGGACAGACGTACGGGACATTTCGTGCGCACTATCTGCACTATTTGCGCCTATCTGCGCTTACATCCATCACGGAAATATTTGCGTCAAGCTCTGATGTCATGCTCACGCATGCTCCCATATGGGAAAAATTCCCACCACTTGTCATCGCTGCTAAGCGCGGCAGCCCGTGATATAAGTTGCGTAACCGAGTGTAAGAAACCGAATATCGTAAGCGAATAAATATCGAGCGTTGAGGAATCTTCATGCTTGGATACACAATACTGCTTGGCCGCGTAATTTCAAAAATTTAACACGTTTATTAATAGTACCCAATATTTTCAAAAAATATCTTTATAAAGGTTATTATTATTCAAGAAAAACCTAACGACAAAAAATGTACGTAACATAAGTTTCTACATGTTTTACAAAATTTATTATAAAACTTACCTTTTTAAACAAAAAGATAAAAAGAGGTGCGAAGTATAAGCGCAACACGTATTGTGTTATTTTTAGAAATTTCAAATTCAAATTATTTTTTTTAAGGTATATATGTGTAAAGTTTTTACAAATAAAATTCACCGTGCCATCGAGAAATCAAAACTTACTGAGAAACCTAACATATATATATATGATTATTGTACACTTAAAATCTAATATATATATATATGATTACTGTATTCAAGAAAAACCTAACGATAGAAAATGTACGTAACATAAATTTTTACATGTAAAATTTATAAAACTTATCTTTTTAAACAAAAAGGTAAAAAAAGGCGCCAAGTACAAGCGCAACACGTATTGTGTTATTTTTAAAAATTTCAAATTCTAATTATTTTTTTGTAAGGTATATACTGAGAAACCTAACATATATATATATATGATTATTGTATACTTAATATACTTAATACTTAAAACCTAACATATATATATATATATATGATTATTGTATTTAAGAAAAACCTAACGACAGAAAATGTACGTAATATAAGTTTTTACATGCAAAATTTATCAAACTTACCTTTTTAAATAAAAATTAAATAAAAATTAAATAAAAATTTTTAAATAAAAAGGTAAAAAAAGGCATCAAGTACAAGCGCAATACGTATTGTGTTATTTTTAGAAATTTTAAATTCTAATTATTTTTTTAAGGTATATATGTGTACATAACATAAGTTTTATAAGTAAAACTTACAATTATAATAAAACTCTACGACACTATTCTACTCTACAAAAAAAAGTGATATATTAAAACAATAGCGCCAACTAAGAAACCTAACATATATATATGATTATTGTACACTTAATATTTTTAGAAATCTCAAATTCAAATTGTTTCCTTTTTTCAAAATATATATTATGTACATAACATAAGTTCTTACAAGTAAAAATTATATCGTGTTATAAAAATTTAACACGTTTATTAATAGTGTCTAATATTAAAAAAATATATCTGTTTAAAGGTTATTATTATTCAAGAAAAACCTAACTACAAAAAATGTCCATAACATAAATTTTTACAAGTAGAATTTATCATTATTTATTAGAACATTGAGTTATATGGTTATTTTACTTGTTATTATAACAAATTAATTATTATAACAATGCAATAAAAAATATTTAATACAAAAAATCTTAGCGCGGCTGCACCAAAAACTGTCGAACTAAAACTTGTTTAATACATATGTGACAGCATTTTTATTATAATAAAATGTACTTGTAAATTCTCTCTATACATATATAGTGTAATGTTTTATTTAAATTTATATAGAGTAATTACTCGTTTATCGATGAAACATTTCTCTAATATTAAAATCTCTAAAACTCAAACAATAGTAAAATATAAACCATTTCTTTACAAATACATCTAATGTAAAATACTCTTAAAATAAATATGTTAAAATAATATTAGAATGTATTGAATATTAATAATATAATATATTTGTTGGAATTAACTTGATTCTATCAACACGTATTATATTTATAGCGCGGTATTGAATAGTTTTATTTGAACTTGAAGTTCCCATATGAGTGAAATATAATATCTCGCGCACATCGCAATCATTCGTTTTTGATTATAATAAATTATAAACCTATAGAATATACATATCGTAATCTGTATATATTCTACATATTTTGATATCTTTTTATTCAAAGATGTTATTCTTATTGTAATTGACGAAGTGTCAATGATATGTACTTTGATTTTTATGTACATACATCTTCGATATAGTTTTTGATGCAGCCGCGCCAAGATTTTTTGTATTAAATATTTTTTATTGCATTGTTATAATAATTAATTTGTTATAATAACAAGTAAAATAACCATATAACTCAGTGTTCTAATAAATAATGATAAATTCTACTTGTAAAAATTTATGTTATGGACATCTTTTATAGTTAGGATTTTCTTGAATAATAATAACTTTTAAACAGATATTTCTTTTTAATATTGAACACTATTAATAAGAGTGTTACATTTTTATAACATGATATAATTTTTACTTGTAAGAACTTATATTATGTACATATATATCTTAAAAGAAAAATAATTTGATAAGTTTTACTTGTAAAAACTTATGTTATGTACATAATATATATATCTTAAAAAAAGAAAATAATTTAAATTTGAGATTTCTAAAAATATTCAGTACACAATAATCATATATATATGTTAGGTTTCTCAATTGGCGCTACTGTTTTAATATATCATTTCTTTTTCAGAGTAGAATAGTGTTGTAGAATTTTATTATAATTGTAAGTTTTACTTGTAAAATCTTATGTTATGTACACATATAAATCTTAAAAAAATAATTTGAATTTAAAATTTCTAAAAATAACACAATACGTGTTGCGCTTGTACTTGACGCCTTTTTTACCTTTTTGTTTAAAAAGGTAAGTTTGATCAATTTTACATGTAAAAACTTGTTACGTATATTTTTTGTCGTTAGGTCTTTCTTGAATAATGATAACCTTTAAAAAAATATCTTTTTTATTAATTTTTCGATGGCATGGCCCATCATATCGTCTGCTCAGCATCAGCTGACCGGCAATCAAATGACGGGCGGCACAACATACTGTGCTTAACAATATTCTCACATTATTATCTTTAGACATTCCCTCTCTCACTTTCCCCCCTCACCCTCTCATCTTCTCCTCTCTCTCCCCCCTCCCTCCCCCCTCTCTCATTCCTCTCTCTCTCTCTCTCTCTCTCTCTCTCTCTCTCTCTCTCTCTCTCTCTCTCTCTCTCTCTCTCTCTCTCTCTCTCTCTCTCTCTCTCTCGCTCTCTCTCTCTCTCCCCCTCTCTCGCATATTTTATCCTATACTGTATTCTAGCATATCTCTCGCTTACTCGGTTGCATTCGCTACTGTCTGCTTCTTCAGAGCTCTCGTAGCGCCCCTGGTGTCGGGAAAGCAATGTGCACGCATATCCCTACTCCTCTGCGTTCGACGTTTCTTTTTTATTACTGAATTGAATTTTTCCGTGATTCAGACTTTATTTTAAAATGCCTCCACTTAGAGACAATGTACACAAAAAGTACAATAATACTTTTCTTCCTATTTTTTAAGACCGAATCGATTGGGACTAAAAGAATCTCGATTGGTTTAGCTATTGCTGAGATATGAATATTTCACCTCGTTTCAACTCGCAGTTTCGCGTAATATAGGCATGATGTGCCTTGCGCCGTTCGGGCGCAACTTCGTTGCGCTTGAACTCAACAGTTTCGCGTAATATAGGCACGATGTGCCTTGCGCCATTCGGGCGCAACTTCGTTGCGCTTTAACTTGGCGTGAGGCACTATCGTGCCTCTTGATTTGATGAGATGTATGAATTCCTTTTCCTTTTAACAACCCATTCTACATTACAGCATGAAAGGATATAAAGCCACTTATATGTAAACTAAATGTATTAACAAATTTTACTGAAAATCATGGCTAGTTTTGTAAGAAAAGTACTCACTATAATTCTGAATGTACTATTCCATTTATTTTGTTCATTATTAAAATTAATACAATAATAAATATTTACAGATTTTTAGCAGCTATATGCGCAATCGTAACTTTCATGAATAAACTTAAGTATTAAACGGCATACTAATAATAATGTAATATAATAGTATAACACATAATAATAATAATAATGATATAATGTATAATAATATAATAATAATATAATAGAGTATTCACAGGGAGAGCGGCGCATTCGAGTGTCTTAGAAGGCAAAGAGACAACTTCATTTCTCGCAAGTTTAGACTATGCACAAAGAACGAAAACGTAATATAACGCAAGAATCGATTAACTATGACTACCATGATGACTTGAAAGGGGAATAAATAATCGTGAACTCGCTGCGAGAGAAAGTGAGTTGCCTCGCTCAAATCGCACGGCTCTGTCCATCATAGAAAAGTTAAAGTACAGGCTTATTTCCATTCTTTGATTCACAGATATATTTTTCATTATTTCTCCACACATTATGCATGCAGACATACGTACGTACATACCTATACATGCGCGTACACACGCGGAAAAATGTTATCCTCGCTTTTCTGCAAATAATACGAATAAGAAGAAGATCGAATCTTTTCCGAAGTTTCCATGTCTTCAACCTTTCCACTACTACGTGCTGTTATAGTAACTTTCCGCTAAGCAATTGTTTAGAACGACGTGCTTTTATAATGACTTCCTTCAATATTATACATTGAAAGCCAAACAAGTTTCTTTTTATTATAAAGTAGTTTCCCGTTTGTTTTAATAACATTCAAGCAATATGTAGATAATAAAATTGGATATGTTGTCATTTTTTGATATTGTATCGATAAAATAAACTGATGAAATAGGATGACATTATATCGATGAAAATATAAATGAAACAGACCTATATAATTATTTTTTCATTATATGCATTCGGCGACTGAGTTGTCTATACAGTGGTGACGCCTTGTGATCAATTTAACAACAGCGAAAAGGTTAAAATTTATATGAACGACAAACTTCGAATTTCCGTATCTTTTATAAACTTACATGGAAAGGTGTACAAGCTGAGAGACGCAATACTTAAACTGGCCTCTCCCTCTCTCTCTCTCTCTCTCTCTCTCTCTTTCTCTCTCTCTTCTTCTTGTTCTTCAAAGCAAAACATAAAGTCCGTCTTTTATATTTTTACGACGCTCTCGTTCGCTGTTCTTTCTCGTTTCGCGCGAGCAAGACACAGGTCGCTCGTTAGCATCTCGCCAACGAGCGTGTGTCCGCGGCGAAGTGAACAAAACTTAGAGACGTGAAAGAAAGAGAAGCGACGAGCACGAGAAGCACGAATCATACTTGTGACTAGCATTCGTTGCACCGTGCAATCGGATCGTATGCGATAATGAATTCGCTGAATAAATGTGCGATACCGTATATACAATTCTGATTTGCGCATCCACAACTTATCGAAGAATAGAGAAGTGTTCATGTTTTTTCTACTTTATCACGTGATGTAGTATGAACAACTCCGTTGTAGAGCAATGACGAAAAAGAATGCTGAAATTAGTTTGGAATAGATCTCCGATAGCATGATCCGTACGAAAAGAATATGCGCATACATGCACAAACATATACATGTATGTATGTATTTATTTATATATGTACGTAATATATGATTCAATGAATAACGAAAATAAAATGTCCTTCGATATGAGAGCCATGATTTTCGGTGGTTCGTGCAAAAAGTAGTTCACTAACATTCAAAGCATTTGGTCTCCATTATTTAATCTCCGTCAAGTCAAATTCAAGCTAGTTAGAATTAGAGAATGTCTCAAGACTCCTCTAAGCCCTCAATTTTGATCTACGAAGCTGCGCGATTAAGGCACTTTGCACAATGAACAACTTTTCCTTGACACATCACAGTCTTGTGGCTCAAGCGCGTGTCGTAGATAACAAACGCGGAAAACGTGACATTGTATGAAACATGCAATGTAATTCTTCTTTTTTCTTCTAAAGAAGGCACCGTGGGAACCGTAAAAATTAATACGGTCTACATGATTGCAGCCGGATATTCATCAAAACTACGAGATACAGTAAAAAATGTATCAGGCAAAAATTGTATAGCATTGAATACATCTTACAACTATCCGTTAAAACTTTCTTTCCACAATATGATGTTGTCGAAGATATACTCTCATTCTAGACTTTATTATATGTACGTACATACGCAAGCACGTATAGTCGAGATACGAAAAGATCGTCCGTAATTATTTTCAGTATGTTTCAAGCATGCATGCGCCCTGTACATAGGAAAATTCTCTATTTAAATAAATTATCCCATTGGATTGAACGGATACATTCTGAAACGCACAAAAAACTAAGGACGATCTTTTTGTCCACGAATGTACACAGTATACGCACACATGCCCGTTCTCACACACTCAACAGTATTTACAACAGCCTTTTACTTATTTCTATATAATACAAAAAAAGTTAAAATCACTTATCCCTTTTCTCTCTTCAACCCTCGCACACTCCATCTCTGTTCATCTTTGCCTTTACCACCTTCTCGCTCCGTTCCATCCTCATCCTTTCCTTTCTGTCTCTCTCTTGTGCTTTTACTCTCCTTCTCTTCCTCCCCCGAAACTCTACCGCCTCTGTCTCTATGTCGCCCCACTCTCTCCCTCATCTCACCCCTTCTGCTTCCTCCTTCATTTGATTCTCTCTTCTCTCTCATTCTTCTGCCCTCTCTCTCTGTCTCTGTCTCTCTCTCTCTCTCTCTCTCTCTCTCTCTCTCTCTCTCTCTCTCTCTCTCTCTCTCTCTCTCTCTCTCTCTCTCTCTCTCTCTCTCTCTCTCTCTCTGTCTCTTTCATTCTTGTACAAACGCACTTATACATATAATCTTTTTCGCATTCCCAAGTTATCCGTTAAAATTCAGACTAGTGTTGATAACTTTGAGGCTGTTCGGAGATGCTGGAGACCGGTTTGCGAAATTCAATGCAACGTAATTCCCTATTAACCTCGCGACGCTTTGCGAGGATATCGATATCTCAATCTCTGCAGTATACGCATTATGCCTAGATTTCTACATGATAATGGGACTGCACTGTCTCTCTCCTTATCCCAAACAAAGGGAGTATAGGATACGATTTATTTTGAATTTACCCAAATATATATAAATTACACCAGAAATCACTGCTAAAGTCAATATTAAGATTTATAGTATGTATAATATAAATAAAAGTTAGAAGTATTAGACAAGCAATACATGCTTTAGTAGTCAATAAAGAGTGCATGGAAGAAAGAAAACAAAACATAAAAAAAGTATAAAAAACAAAGATTTATAATTCCAACGAAACAAAATACGACGCATTATTTTTCTGATTAGAATAATTATATATGCGCACAGATAGTACGTATATTTTGCACATTAGAAATGGTATAGTGTCGATCTTTCACCATTATCCCAAAGTCAGCAGTTCAGTTATTATATAGAAATCTATGATTATATCATGCTTCGGTATGGTTGCAATCACACCAAATTAGAGACAAATATCAATGAGGATAACATCGTTGTTTAGAATTCAGACATTAATATCGAAGTTGAATATCGTTGTTGAAAAATGATTAGTTGCAAGTATAATCGATATTATTTTCTATAAATAAGTTTTTACCTTTAACCGTTGAAAATTCATATTTACTAATTGTAAAGATAATATATGTAATATCAAGGTTTCCCTTAATTTTCATTCTCACGATCAATTTATTGATTGAATTAAACTTGACTTAATTTTGGAAAATAAACGTTTCGAGGAGGAGAGAAGAATTGAGGTAAAATCTTCCAGATATTTATCGAGGTATCACTTGATGTAATTTCGAGTGTCTTAAATCATGTACTTCAAATTCTTCAGAAATATAAAAAATGACAATTTCGAAATGACTGGCAGAGAAAGGTCAAGACGTAACGATTATGAAATTACATAAATGCCATGACAAATAACGATAGGCGAATAATCGAATAACAATGAACCGGTAAGCAAGGGATATGTAATTCGCCAACGGAGACGATGTTAGCTTCTACACACGTAATGACGTCACATAATAAGGTCACATAATAACATCATTATGTTACAATGCATTATACGCGGTACAATAAAGAAACGATGCATTATTCTATCTCGTGCTCTCTCTTTCCGGAAATAGTAACAAATATTTATCACTCGATTGACTAACGCATCGCTTCTTATTGTGCACATGCATTACTATATATACTACTATGTATCTATACCAATGCAAAAGAAAAACAAATGAACAAAAGAAATAAAAAGAAAGAGATTTTTCTTTCGAATCTATTTTTCTTTTCTTTTATTTCTGAACGTATCTTTCCTAAAATGCAAAACGGTGCGACATCGTTGAAGAAATGTATAATTTATGGAGAATAGAAATTTATAGAGCCTAGGGATGAGATTAAGAGCAAAATATTGATGTCCAATTGTTAACATATCGATATTTCATGATGAATGCTACGAGTCACGGTGCAAGGAACATTACATCGGTACTTCGTCAACTTCTCATTCCCGTTTACTTTTATTTATTCGTACAATTGACTCTCTAAAAAAAATTGACTACATTATATCGCAACAAAGTTGTTACGACCTTCACGACCTGCCACCAGTCGTACATAGAACTGTGAAAGTTTCTTATTTTACAGCTACCGTTTTACGGTACGTAATTCACTCAATACAAACATTAATAAGTCTACGCTTAATTTACGCTGTACTTCGCATCGTTGAATTTTTCTTTCGTCCGTGTAGCGCGCGATACCCTTCTCATCTTTACTATCCTGTCGAAACGCAATTTCAAGGTGAAATTTCAGATCTACTTTACACAAGGTCTCTCTGTGTCAAAATATCACGTTTTATTCATGTAAGAAAGAAGTGAAGGAAGAAACATGTGTAATGCCGAAACTTCTCAAGAATTTTTTCCATCGTTGAGTCACAGCCTACATATGCAAACCTGGAGGAACTTTGTCCGTATCTTCCTCTTTCCTATCGCTCGTTTGACACCGCGCATCCCTCGAGTACCTCATCACTAAACATCTTCTTGTATCTCGCGTCGCGTCACTGTACACAAACAATGATATATACAACTATCTATCAAACCCATCTTAATCTCGGGTCCTTTAAGGCCCATCAGGCGCTTTCACCTGTGACACAAAGAATATCCGAACACATATGGCCCGTGTACCTGTAGAACTTTACGAAGCATCGTGCATCTGAAACCGGCGAATGCGCGCCTGCACCGACTCGCACTGTACTTCGCAGTACCTGGTGTATCTGCCGGCTCGGACGGGTTCCCTGATGACCACTAAATTGCCACCACGCTCTCGGAGCGCCTCAAGGCCCGCAGTTCTGCCACGCACCGTCGTCGTCGCCGCCGTTGTCGACGTCGTCGACGTAATCGTCGATGTTGGCGGCATCGTCGGGATCTTTGCAATCTTCGCGCCGGGCGCCTCCAACATAAAGCGACTGAGGGCCTTGCTGACGACGCCGTTACATTCACGCGGCCATACCCTGTTGCTACGATGTTGATGATGCCTCTGCTCCCATCTGTCGGCAGTCGAGTCGGTGGTGGAAAATGGGAAGCTCGCTCTGCCTTGGCTCTTACCATACAGAATGAAGTCTAGAGAGTCGTCTGAGTAGATACTGCTACGGTCGCTCGAGCTGTCAGTCGAGATCTCGGAGACGGTGTCACTGCCACTATCGCTACACTGCTGCTCTTCGCCGAGGATGAATACAGGCGTGCACTTGAATACCTCGCCGGCTGGCATGGTGTGAGTGGCGGTAGCACGACGCTGAGTGCCAGCGCCGATGACACCGCCGATGGCACCACCGCTGTTGGCGGTGGCAACGGCCGTGCTGGTGCTTTCGCTCCCGCCTGCGGCCGTGCCCGACATCATCGATTCGATGATGACGATTTCCGTCGCGGAGAACTTACGCGCTAGCGAGTCCATGTTTCTCTTGAAAGTGTCCCTGCGGTCGGGACTCAGGCCAAACCTAATTTTGGATTTGGGCGACGATTTGGACGGTGACTTGGTGGACTTAGTATAAAGATTCTCCGTGTGCGAGGAGATGGCGCGACTCGTTGTTTGCTTGGAATCTGTATTGTGGCATGAGCCGGTCGAGCTAGACAAACGTTGTTTCTCAGTGTCGCTCTTCGGTGTAGGCGACGCTTTTGACGTTTGGCCGTTGGTGATGGCAAGCTTCTGAAAAGAAGAGAATGGATTGGAAGACGAAGTAGATGACGAGCTGGAGCTCTTGTCTGGTCGCGAGTTCGTCATAGAGAAGTTCGCGCTGGAACTGTCATCCGACGAGGCGGAACACGTGGACAATAGCAGAGGCGCCGGTGGCTGCTCAAACATGCTGAACCAAGGATGCTGGAGGCACTCGGTCACCGTCAGGCGTTCACTGCAAACAGACAAAAAGTTGTTTACTAAAAGAGGTATATTTCACATGCTCACACACACATATATATATATATATATATATATTCTCGTGACTGCGCGAATACAATCATTGGCGTGTCCTCCGGCAACATGCGTTCGCGATAATCACACCAAAGCATGAACGTGCAAGAGAGACCCCGGCACAACTCATTCACATCAGCTATTTTCGTACGGCCCTCTTAAACAAATGTATCTTGACAACAGCCTCGTTCCGTGAACAACAGCCTCGTTCTCGTCATCCTCGTTAACTCGCGAGCGAGAGTCAAGAGGTTAAGAGACCCGTCGCGTAATGACCTCCGGGCGGCGCATTATCGACGGTAGCCATCGTCGCAGCGCTCGCACTGGAACATTTTCACGCGGCTATCTCGTGCCACACGTGCATCGTATATACTATATATATGCAGCCCGCGTGAAATGTTACGTACACATCGCTCGACTTCCGCCACGCGAAACGGTACAGAATGTCTTCAATAACGGAGCGTACCACGTAACTGCCAAGGAATGCAGGCCTATCAAAGATCCGTTGACGTTTTAGAGGGAAGTTCCCTCAGTACTGCGCAAGATTATCGGCTGCGAGCGAGAGATTTGTACTATCGAATTCAGGTCGCGCGTAAAACAACAGATCGACAAGGTCTGCAATCAAGTGGATCGACATAATTTCCAGGAATCAAGGCAGAAAAAGATCGATAATTTTAATGGGAAAATCATATTGGTGAAAAATAGATAACACGGTAACTATGCCCCGCGCGGTCACTGTAAATTATTCGATAATACACACTTGTTATGCAAACTGCCACGCATTAACATAATAATAATCTAACACCAGTCCCGTGATTGCTGGCATAACTCAAACTACTGAGCGAAAATAGTGCGAATGTATAATTAAAATACATTAATTCCAACAAGTGATGCAGCGAGCAATTAAATTTGAAATTACCTACGGAATGTGGTACTAAGTTTTATGTACTTTCAAAGCTCCTCTAATTTACTTGCAACATAGTTCTCCGGCCGATTCACTAAATATAGTGCTTTGCAGATTGGCCGTAAAGGAGAGACCACTCCACGTCGTCGAACATGATGATAAGTCGTTTATGAGTGGCACGATAAAGGTCTCTGCCTGGTAGAGAGGAAGAACGCGGATATTCCGGATAGCAACTTCCCTTCAGCTGTCTAAGCGATAAGGGAATCTACGAGTTTTTTGGCGGAATTCCGCTCGATCGCGTTGCTCTTCCTGTTTCAAAGAAAGGCGCCGGTCGTTTTTCCCGTGACCGACGGACGAAAGCGAATGATTGATCGACGACAGTCCCTACCTGCACACAAGCGAGTTAATTAATATATCTTAGTGGAATCACGATATTATCATTTTGTATTTTGTACGGCTAATCCGCGAGATGTTGAAGCAGGCGTAAAACAAGCGAAATATGATACACATAATTCATAAGAAACAAAAATTCGTAGAATTCGAATAAAATAATTTAAAATGTCAATGCGACAACATTCGAATAATCAGAAATATGTATTTCTAAGATGAACGGAAATTTCACGTCACCGAAAGAGGAATCAAGTCAAACTATCCAGTCGAAACGTTCGTCGTACTCTTTGAGTTTCTCGGTACAACAATTTATTTTCGGCAAGTAGAGTGATAGTCACTCCACACACGATTTCGAGTAATTTTTTATTTATGTAAAACAAATCGTGCACTCGCTGAATCACCAAACAATTATTCTTACTCGAAGGCATAGGCGACGCCAAGGATGGGCCTGGGTGAGCCTTCGCCCATCTAAAAATACGCTGGCTCACCCTAAAATTTTAGAAAATTTTAGCATAATTATGCTGTCCTATTCTGTCAAGTATTCAGCTTTTTTATATAAAGTTATTTTTATGATTAAAATTCTACAATTAATTTTAAATTCTATCTTCATAGTTAATTTCTTCCAGAGACAAAGCGCAACGATCAGAAACATTAAAATGAATAATAAAATGATATACAATATATAATAAATATGGCCCATTTATATAAACGCTGGCCCACCTATGGCACATGAATAGTTCTGGCGCCGCTTATGCTCGAAAGTAGATCTAATCTATTCCATCACAGAAATAAATTTATTTTAATCGAATAATTGTTCACTCATATTTATTAAGATAACACTCCAAACAGTTTAAAAAATATGTTTGCAGTGAACGATTGATTTTGAATTTGATCAATGCCCTGAGAAAAGAAAAACTGCGTGAAGTTCCTCTCTTTAAAAATTGCAAAAGATTTAATTATAATTGTATTAAATTAATTATAACTGTATAAAATTTAATTATAACTGTAGCAACTTATTCAGTAGTCATTTTTGTAATGTTTGTTGGTTCATTCCAAAAATTTAGTATTTAGAACCAGTAGTTAAAAGTGCAATAGATATTACAAAGAAAATAAAAATGGATATGAACTTCGTCTCCTGTCATTACTGAAAATTCCTTCTCACATTCTACTCAATTCTTATTGTTATTATTCGTTTGGTGATTATTTCTTTGATGGATAGATCTCATCTGACTGTATCACGCGCGTTGATTGATTAATTTTATTTTATTTCATTAATATTACGATATTTTACATAGTGATTCACAAAATTTTATTTTATTTCATTAATATCACGATATTTTACATAACGATTTACAAAATAATAAAATAAAAATTTACTATTCACTTTTTAATGAATAATATCTGCGCGCAAGTATTATCGTATCATGATTCAAACACTTTGTAATAATGCGTCATTATTTTTTTTTTAGATACCTCTTATCAATATGTTAAAAAAAATGATTCCTAGTTGTTTTATATTTAGATAATTTATGATAGTTACCATATAAGGAATCCAGATCTAATTACCTTGTCCTTGAGATATGTTGTCAAAAATATTACTGTATATTTTTCAAAAAATTTTAGTCGACATCCATTGCTTATTGAAACAATATTAATCAAAAAAGTTTTGAGAACATACTAGTTAATGTTAGTGCTAAAACATGTAATTTACTAATATAGATAACATTACATTTCTCTATTTCTGGGATTTCTGGGATTACCGAAATAAATACCTCCATTTTTCATCCCCAGTAACAATACGATACAAAAAAATCTTCATTCAAAAACTCTTCGTCTGACAATCAATAAAACGCAAATGTTCAATCAGTTCGCAATGGCATTTTCTGATAATTCATGTGGAACCCATTTTCCTTCTTCGTGAATCTTTCTCATATCATGTAAACATTTAATAACTATTGTACCATCAACATTTAATGCTTTGGCAAGTTCTAAAGCGGATTATGCCGAATTTTCGTCCAATAATGCTTGCAAATATGCATTTTCAAGCTTTTCTGATTGTTCCAAGCGATTTTTGTCATTAACATTGAAATCACCACTTTTGAATTGTCAAAATCAATATTCACGTATCTTAATTGATGAAGCAACATCATAAGTTTCTATCAGAATTCTATGATCTTCAGCCGCCGTTGTCTTCTGATTAAAAAACAAAAGCAACACATGTCAAAAATGCTCTTTAGGAAGCTCCATCTTTAAAGTAGTATTAACACGATTTTTATTGCGTCTATAGTCAGTAAATGACTAAATATGATGGATTAATATTAAAATATTAAGAAACAATAGCTGTGATTGGAATGTTCGATAAAACTGACATTAGTACCATCTCTTGCGAAACCCTCAAAACTAAATCACATTCCTAATATTACGTAAACTTTACCATCACAGTTAGTTACTTTTATGATTTTTTATCTTATACTTACATATACGTGTAAAATTGAAAATCACACAGATCGTATAAACAAACCTAGTTATAATATAATAGCAAGAAATGCTTGGCATGTATGAAATGTATCCTAAATATCTACTGTCTATAGTTTGATATAATAACTAGATAATTAAGAATAAGGTTAGAAATTTAAAAAATTAAAAACTTATAATTTAGTTAATTTTAAATATTTCTGCCACAAAATATATGCTATTAAACATTGATTATGAATATAGTCGATAAGCAGAAATATATAATTGTATGATAATTATATAAATATTTCTAAAGAATCAGCTCGCGTAAAATCACAAATTTCAAAAAAAGAAAAAATATGTAAGAGATGACGTTTCACACAATCAAGCTTATATTGTTCGTAAATGTATCTTTTTTATTGCCTATCCCATTGCACTATTTGATGAACATTGTAAAGACATCACATTGTTGGTGACGACATTTCCGAACAGAAAATTTTTGATTTCTGACTTCACATTAGGATTCATGTCTTCGTTCATAAAGCATGCAGGGCAAGAATGAAAACAATTTTGTCTGCAAGATCGATTGAGTCCACTCAGAATTTTATGTGACCAGTTGTTACAGCACTATGATGATTTTGTCTCCATTGTCATGTAAGTACACAACCGCGCGTTTCTCGCTTTGCGTATTTTCTTGCAAAACCTTGCAAAACCCTGTCTTTTGATTCGTTAGCCTAAAGATCTATGTAATAGTCACAATAGCCACAGTCAGTCAAGGACTTAAACGTACCGAACACAAACCCGCGCAAACGCGAAACTACCGTTCTCGCTCGATGATTTTCTCTCGCCTTGAAGCGGCGCGTAATTAGATTTCAAAGCTCGAACCTGCACTGACCTACTAATTCGGAATCGCTACACTTAATGGATCGTCATCATTGTCGATGCCGTCATCCTGATTGCGCCATCGCGGAATGTCGCGTTACAATGATACGTCTACGTAACGCGATTGTTTTCGTTCCGGGAAATCGACCGATATACTGACATAACTTAGCAATATAGTCGCTGGGCACAAGCGTGTTCAAGCACTCCGAGCTATCTCCTTTCGTTTCGAGGTAAGGACCGGACCTTCTCGGTAAGTCACCGCAGCCTTCTATGAAGGAATTATTTTCACCGGTCTAAGAATTCTCCGATAACACGGCCGATATCTACTTCTTCTTCTCCTCTTCCTCATGTTCGTCATTCTCCTCGTGCGACACTCGACTCGCCAGACGAGCCATCTGAAATCGACGAATTAAATTCTTTGGCTGAGAAAGAATTCTTTGGTAGAGAAATTACGGCGAATGGATAGATGAACGTTATTCGTCTCGATCGCATGGACGTGTAACGAATGAAAATCTTTCGTTTAAATCAACAGAGTACATGAAGACAAGTGGCAACAAAGCAGCCCGCGATGATCGCCGAATAATATAAATCTCGTTCCTGCAAGTCGGTTTCCAGTCATACACGTACGTTTCTAAATTTCATTTCTAGGCGCTACTTGCTGAAATAATGTCCGCATTATGAGCTATTCGAATTTATCTTTCACTTCGGGAAACAATACAGCAACGCACATTTATTTTGCTTAATTTAAGCTGGTAATTCTACGTCACATAGCTAATATACACAAAAAGTCATAAATGTCTGGCCACTTCCAACACAGAGAGAGATTTCTTTAATTAATTTTATTGCATCTAAACAAATTTGATAATTGAAATAATCTAAAAAAACTAATATTTCAATCAATAAATATTATTCATTAGCTTTTCAAATAATTTTATTGTTTGGTCCAAATAATTTACGATTTAATATAAATAAGTACTTATTTAGTTCAAAGAAGAAAATTGTTCACATTTTCATTTTACTTAAAAATATCAATAATTTTCTTTTTAAATACTCTTAAAAATTTAATATTTTTATATATTTATAATCTTATTTATTATTTCATCATTTTCTTGTGATTCTCCATCCAAATACTCAACCATTTTGTGATACGGCCACATATCCTTTTTATTGACCACAAACTAACCTACTTGACTTCAACAATCGAACAAAAATTAATAGTAGCAACTACAACTCTGATAAAAGTTATAGTATTGCATTGTGTTATAGTTATAGTTATATAATAGTTATAGTATAATAGTAGGTAATTATAGTATAATAGGTATAATAGTTATAGTATTGTGTATAATAGTTATAGTAATACATAATATTATAAAAAAAGAAAAAGTTGGCACTGTGAAGACTCCAACACTCCTCGGACGTAGACGACAAAATACTAGCGCGCGCCTTAGCTTCCGCAGCTACCGCGCTTTATGCTTATTGATTCCAAGTTACTACACTTAATATGTAGCTGTTTTCTTAATTGCAAATTTCTCGCAAACGAAGGCCCATGCACGCAAACCCTTTTAGGGTTTTTATGTACTCAATTATGTACTCAATCCCCCTATTCGAGTGAAATATGACTCATTCAAATATCGATTTTACATGTCTTGCCATCTTCTTGTTAATTTAATATTATCCACAAATATTGAAGCAACAATCTACTTACATTTTGTTATATTTTGTTACATTGCTTATAATCGATGTTAGGCATAAAGCTCGTTAGAGAGAATTATATAACTTACATCGGATCCTTAACCATGAGCTTGCGCATGAGATCGCGCGCCTCCTCGGATACGTCCTCAAAGAGATCATCCGGGAAGTCCAGCCGGCATCGACTAATGTTGCAAAAAGTTTCTTGTTTAGTGTCGCCTCCGAATGGCGAGCATCCCGTTAATAATACATAGAGTAGCACACCGACGGACCACATATCGGTCGCAAGACTGATTGGCTCATAATTCAGAACCTCCGGGGCTAGAACATATACACAGGAGACAAAACAATTATAGTGGATAGGTAGGCTCTCCGATCAAATAAATGAAATGGATAAATTCTTCCTTTCTCACTCTTTTACTCTGTTTTTCTTCTCTTTCTAACACTATTATGTTATGCTTTAAGCTTTTCGTATTTTCTCGTGTATATGGATCTCATATAAATACATACCACACTGTTTTCTGACAACGTGTATATAATAATTGTCTTTGCAAACTTTTTTTGTATTTTTAGACTTCTAAATTCAGTTGTAAAGATATAATAATGTTCTTTGAAATGTTCCCTTGAGCAAAAGCGAACAAACTTCTTATACTCGGTGCGTACAAAGTGCAGAAATTTTATATCAAGCTAATTTTTTATTTTATTTTTAATTTGATTAACAGATCGAGATCAACTAATAGATCAACTTCCAAATTTGTTATCGTTTCCGTCACATATTGTACAATGCTCTAATTTGTTTTTGGATTATATCTTTTATTGTATAGAATAATTTAAAATTTCTATTCCTATTTCTATTTCTATTCGACCATCTAACCAATACGACGTAAACTTTGTAAAGAAAAACTCAATATTCTATCGATAATGTTTCCAAATATAGCATCTCTTTAAATTTTAGTACCTCCACAATATACGAGGGTACGTCGCAGCAATTAAATTCAAGAGAAGTATCACCATTTTTGTTCGGTCACACATTATTACGTCGCGGTTAGTCATTATACCGTAACATGGTACTTTACAAAGAGTCGCGCATTCTTTAACGGGATAATTGTAACCATGAACATACATATTAATGCTCCGCGTATAATCACTGCGATACGCATATAACGACTCGCAGCTATCCCTCATATAATAACGCTAACCACGCTGGAACTGCCACTTTATATCGGCCGGTTTTGCAATTTTTCCGCATAGGCTTATGCGTTTTTCTCACAAGGGAGCCGTTGGAACTAACTCTCATCAATTTTTATGGACTTTGGATATATATTGGATATATATTGTAGAGTATCAACAAATATTAGGTTTATATTTTTTCTCAGTGATGTAAAAGTTAAAATAATCCGTCGAAACTAACGACCTTTTTCATTTGTAATTTTATTTTTGATTCAAATATCTTTGAATGTATATAAGGTATATAAGAAAATGTTTTATATAAAAATTTTATATTTTTTGCAAGGATATATTCCAACATTTTCCGAAACTGTCAAATTTTTATTTACTGCCACCCATTATTTTCATAAAATTTAAAAATTTTGTACGAACAAAAATTAAAGAGCATCAAATGCCAAATTCATCCATGTACAATAATAACAGAAAAAATATTTTTATATTATTTTGTGTGTAATATTTTTTGATGCTATACAATACAAAATCCATAAAAATTAGGAGATCTCATTAAAAAATATGTTTAAAATAAAAAAACAAAACATCATGTTTTTTTGCTTAACCCTTTGCACTCGGATGTCCCCTCTGAAGGGACATCGTAAGTCTAGCAAATCATTCGGATGTCCCTTTTTAGGGGACATAAAGATTTTATTAGTGATTATACATGATAAATTACATATTCTCAATGTGGGAGGAAGAAAACGGGACTGCATTGTTTGCTCAAATAGAAAAACTAGGTGAAAGACGCAAAACAAATTACTTCCTATTGTACAACATGCATCAAGGAATCTGTAATGCATATCGGTGACTGTTTCAAACGTTACCACACGTTACAAAAATATAAGATATAAAATTTTGACTTTTTGTCATATGTTCCTCAATGTCTAAAGATTCATATAAACCAAATATCATTGTCACAATAAATTACTTGATTTTAAAATTACACTATTTAATATGACGCGATTCCTGTTTGTATATTTGTATGAAGGTGCCGCGTCGCTGAGCTGTTAGTAAGTAACGCGTAAGATGGCTCCGAGTGCAAAAGATAAAAATTGTTTTTTGTTTCCAATATATTTTAAATAAGCGTAAAAAACATGTTTCAAACATGTTTAAAACATATATGTATTTGATTTTTAATAGTTAATAGTTTGAACGTAAAATGATTGGCAATGTACGTATAATAATTATTTTTTTTTAATCCTGTAAAAGTGTATACATTTAAGTGTAATAAATATATAATGTGCAAGCATATGAAAAAATAAAGATTTTGTGAAATAAATATATATCACCAATATATATATATATAAATTCATGTCCAAAATTTATATTAAACATTTAAAAAACACGTTTGCGTTAAAAACATACATTTAAAAAAAAGCGTACGTTTTAAGAAAAACATGTTTAAAATTGTCGAATGTTTAGGACATGTTTAAAATATTTGTTTTAAAGGAGAAATTTAAAACATGACAACTCTGAGAATCGGATAAGAGAAATCCGATGTTTCTCTTGCTTATGCCTCAACTTAATTGATACATGAAAATCAGCAGAATTATTTTGCTGCACAAATGGTCTCGCTAATTTTAATTTTTATGGTCTCGCTAATGATGTCAAAGTCTCAACGCGCTAATTAATCAATTAAGATTCATAATGAAAAACAAACGAACGAGACGCTTTTTCATCAAATTATAATCCTGTCCTTATTTTCGCTGTCAACATTATGACATTTATTTGAAAATCATCTTTCGACTAATTCTGCGCATGAACGGTTCTCGGAATTACGTTTTTTTCTGAGCTACTTCAAGTTAGACGACCTCGCACCAGCCCCTCCTGAAAACCGCAGGTCACTCGAACGTGAGACGAGAGTTTTCGTTTTTCACCGTAAAGGGATTCTCTCGTGACTCGATATTACCTAACCTATGTCCATTCGATACAAGACCGTTAGGCGGTAGCGGGACGTAATTGCTATGGTAATCGCGAGAATCGTAAAAGGGCTCGAGCGAACGATCAGATTGCGCAGCCGGTCCTAGCCGCGAAGTGGCTTGTTCTGTCCGATTATGCAACACGCCTGTTTCCTCTAATGGAAGTACGCAGTACTGAACGAACCTTGTCTCTTTGTAACACGAGTCAGATCAAAAACTTATCGACCTTTGGAAATTTCAAAGTTATTAAATTAATAAAAGTTAGGGCACTATTATAGTAGCATATTCTTGATAGTAAATAAAGTAAAAAAGTCTAATACTATTTTTTCTTTCGACAAATAATTAGCGAGATATCGTAAGGTAAATGTTGGAAAAGTTACCAAGTTTTCCTTAAATATCTCAAAATATATTAAGCAAATAAAAAAATGTTTCAGACAAAAGTTGTTCAAATTAATTGGTAGAAAAACATGATGTAATAAAAAATTCGGATTTCTATTTAAGAAAATTGATAATCAGTAAATATTTCGAAAATGGAGCCATCTATAAACAAAATGCTATCGCTGTCCTATGTCCCCCTTCAAGTTAAACAACTTTTGTCTTAAACATTTTTCGATTTAACGCAATATTTCTGAGATATTTGAGTGGGTCCTTTAAAATGGGACACCCTATATATATATGTGTGTAATAAATATATTTCACATAAAAAGATTTGTGTATACTTTTTAGATTTACATTAATACACCAGTCGAACATAAGAAAAAAAAACAAAAATTATAAAAGGTACAAAAGCTCGATCTTGAACCATTAATCTGACAGTAATCGACTAAATCTTCTGTTATCGAAGCCCTTAATGTTCACCGTTGTATTCTACTTGATTTATTCAACAGTAGGTCTCCCAATCTTAATGTTTAATAATTTGAAAACTATAGAAAGTCTACGTAAACAATAAAACATGGACGCAATATTTTTCGATTACCATATTTGAGCTAATCCAATCATACCTCGTGCGATTTCTTTGTAAGCGACAACCGCAAGTCTCAGCCATTTTCAATTATATTATCTACATTATCTTTCAATAATATTATCATAGTAAGATACGGTAAGACGAGCTTACAGAGCTCGCCCCATCGTATCATACACATTAGGCTGCCAATCTTTTTTCATTAACATCTTGAAATTTTACATAGTTGGTTGGAAAACGATTGCAAATCTTTTGTTCAATTTGAAGTATTCTATCTGCACACGAGTAATGACTATCCTGCAAATTTACCTTATAAACTGCCTTTAAACTATCTACCCAACATCTTGTATAGCGACGAAAAAGTTGCGATGAGAATTTCTTTTCAATGTGTCTTGAAATGAACAACGATCGTAAAAAGTAAATACTCACCAACATAATCGGGTGTGCCCAAGATCTCTCGTATGTCTGCTCCGTGACTAATGTATCGCGATATACCGAAGTCACACAACTTCACGTCGCAATCCGGGAATTCCCCAGTAAGTACCAAATTCTGTGGCTGAAACATTAAAGGAGCAATTTAAAGAAATCCAGCTTATTACTATTATTACATGAGATCGAGGCATATGACTCTTTCCTTGTATTTACTACACGACATGTACACCATAATTCAGTTAATCATTTGTATAATTTCGTTTTCACATAATTTGAAGACCATTAAAGACTACTGAAGAATAATCATTTAAGAAGTAATTTAAAGACTATTTTTTATGAAGCCTTGAGTTCATAAAAATGCATGGAAAAAAGAAACATATGGTGGCGTACCTCTGATATGCCGATTTGTTATAACAATATGAAGAAAAGAAAACTTTTCTTTCAGCGGACGCTCTCGCGGCTTTTCTTCAGTCGGTCGCTCGCCCGGTATTTTTTAGTCACCGTTAAACACGGACAAAAAGTCCTGGCTATTTCATAGCTTAATTCGAGGAATTTCGGCGCCACAACGCAAATGAACTATAAATTTGGTAAAAATTTGTAGCAATGTATAAAACAGTTTTAAATCATATATACAATTTTCTAAAGGAAAAATAATGGCCTTTCACTATAAAAAAATACTTTTTTTACTTGAACATAAATGGTCTAAAATATTTATGAACATTATAAATCCTTCCTTTAAAAATACAAAAAATATACATTAACTTTGATTTATGTAATTAAATTTATTTTTATCTAGTAAAAAATATCATCGGGTGAATTTTCACCCATCCTAATATTTAAGGATTAATTTAATAGCTGTCGAAGTTCTTAGTCTTCAAATTTTTTTTTATTAGACAGGACGTTCTCGATTCAAATAGTCGAAATCTCTATTACAAAACGTCTGCTTTTTATACATCACAATTCAAAACAGGACAAATAATTTTCACGACTTCAGTAACGTTCGTTTTTAATTGAAATGCGAAAAGAAAGCAGTACTTCAAACACAACTTTTCGGATGCCATCGTGTTCACTATTTAAACTTATATTTAAAAAAAGAAATGATGTCAGGAAGTTAAGTGCTAATAATTTTTGAAAAATAGTAATATTAGAATATTGCACCAATTTAAAATAAGATAAATTACATATTAAAAACAATATTTTATACACAAACATAAAAAAGCCGATACTGACGAAAGTAGAGGAGAAGGTGGTATTATGCCTCCCCTTTCATTCATTTATATACAATAATTTTGTCAATAATCAATATTTTAAAGTGAGAACTGAATGATTACATTTGTCACAGTGTTGTTTAGTCGATTATAAAAATTATTATTATTATTATTATAGAAATTATTATAAAGATTATACTCAAATTTATATAATTTATTTAGTTTATTACTTATGTTATTTATAAAAATGTGGCAACATAGCATAATGGGTCAGCGAAAAAATAGAAATGTGGGTAATGTGAAACTGATCCCACTGAAACTGATACAAAAAATTGATTTTGTTTAAAACAACACAGAGTGTTTAGTTACAAAATTATATATTTATTCAAATTAAACTCTTAGGAGGGGAATAATAATGAATATAACTGAGAATTTTTAATATGGATATTGACTTACTTGTTAGGAAATACAATTTGCCAGAAAGACAGTAATATAGTGCAAACATAAGTGCAACAGTGGACTAGATTAGAATTGACTTATCAAATAATTACTTCGATATAAAAACCTCGAAAAAAGGACAGTATTTATCAGCATTCTTATTGGATTATATCATATTAGCAAAATGTCATGCTGTTCCATTTAACTTTTTGCATAAGTTGAAAGACGTACAGCCAAATAAAATATCAAGTGACAAACAAAATACTCAATTGTACATATATTCGTGTGATAATACGCTCGAGTTTAGAAATAATAAGGAAGCATGTCTAATTAAATGCTAAAATATATTGAAAATACCTTGAAAAATATTTCGAGATGCTCGAAAATAAAAATGTGTTGTAAAAAGTGCTAGTTATTGTGTATCGATATATTAACGTCACTGCGCTAACAGCGAGCTATTAAACAAATTATTTCATAAGTAATAACTGGAATTCACTACCTGATATCAGAGATATTGAGTGGCCATAATACCTACAGGAGTTATAATACCATCTTCTCCTCTATATCAAATGTTTAAACTCATTTTAAAGCGTCTTCAACAATAAGGAATTCTAAAAAAATGTCAAATCGAGATCGATTAGATTAACTAGAGTTGCGAAAGTTGTCACTCTGTGAGCAATTCTTAACAATGCGACGACGATAAAGAATTAATTGAATCGAAGAATGAAGGTAGAAAATGAAAAGAAAACTGCGCGCTGTACTTAACACTCATATCTTTCGACGTTCGGATCAGGTGGCGAAGAAGCAAAACAAACGCATCCGCATTATAATAAGATGAAAGCGCGTGTAGGCGTCACGTTCATACCGCGCGCAAGGCAATGCCGATGTAAACGATACCGCGATAAGAAAGGTCGTTCCGCGGCCTAGGTGCAACTCGTGCCCACGTATCGACCGCGTTTTCCACTTAACCTCCGTTCTCCTCTCTTCTCCCGGAATCGAACAATACTGAAGAGACTTCGCGAGAGTGCTGATGAAGAGAGAGTGTGAGGGAGCGGTGAGGACAAAAAAGAGAAGGAAAAAGAAACGACGGGCAGGTAACAGTCAACTACGAAAGAAGAAGAAGAAAAAAGAAGGAACTTGAATAAAATAAAGGCTGCATTTAGGGACTACGCTATTAGCGTAGTCGCTATTGGTAGCACGCTCCCCGAACGCACTCGAAATGTATTCAACATCTGTCTAGTATTACTGATTAAATCCTACTTAGTTTGATCGATGCATGTTTCGATAAAACAAGCCTTTGGTAATGAACGATAAAACTAGATAATTATAAGTTTTTAATCAATTTTTAGTCGATTCTTATTTTTTATGTTTGATTCTTATTTTTAAAAGCCAACTATAATACTATAAACGTTTCGATCATTTTCCAATCTCATTTATTAGCTATTTTTAGAAAAATTTGACAAACAATTATGATTGATTATCAAATTTCAGTTAAAAATAACTATTGAAGAAAACCGAATAATGACCGAAACATTTTGCGTTACATAAGCTGTTAAAAATTATATTTTCCTAGTAAGAAACTAATATAATTTTTTTTTCGAGTAGTTACTGGATAGTAGTTGCGTTGACTCTTGTCTAATGAAACTGAAAAATTATGAAAATCAAAATGAAAATTATGAATTTCAAAATGAAAATATAATATTTTTTCTTGCGGTTACTGCACATAAAAAATACATCAAATCTAAATCCATTTACTGAATAAAGATCAGTGAATTATGTAATTGATTAATAATTAAGCCTGTTGCTCATAAAATGGATAAGTTTGCCCTAGTAATATTTTGTTTTTTATATTTGTTAGCTGAAAAAAATTTTCTGTGTTATGGCTCTCATTGATCTCATGCTACATGAAACAATATATCATATAAGTTTGAGATTTATTATGACAATTTTTATTTATTTGATTACTAAAAAGTCCAATAGAAATGATAAATTTAGATAAAGTCACACATAAGTATTTCATTAAAATTTGCATATATTCCCATTATACTTTGTAGGATTTTTAAAAAAAGAACATTAGATATATAATCTGATATTTACGAATCAAAAGAGCAATAAAATATTATTAATTTTTATAAAGTACAGCAGATAATATAATTGATTGGAAATAATTAAAAATAAGAAATAGGTTATACAATAAGTAACAACAATATAATATAAAATAAACTAATATAAAAAAGAGATAATTGATCAAACATTAGATACATAATTTGATATTCACGAAAAACATGACCAAAAAGATGATTTAATTATAGTTAATTATAGGTTAATTCTATTGATTTTCTTTTTAAAGGATTATAATACATGCACACATAAGATTGAATTAATATTACTAACACTACACCTTGGAAAGAATCGGTCCGCGGTACTCATATTAGTCCCTGACATAAGTAAAATTTTATCAAGTTCTCATCAAGTTCCCACACAATATTTTTGCAACTAATAAGAGTATATTAATATTAGACAGTAATTGGGTGTATATACATGCAAACTGCGTAGATAGATTTCTATCAGGATAATAAAAATTCATAATTGATGATCACGCGAATTGGTCCACAATTGATATTAACATAATTTTCTACAGCAGATTGTACATTACGAGGGCAACAACACACGTCGTCGAGCGACACAGATCGTGTGCGTCCAGCATATTAAGAATCCGCGACGTAGTCATGAAGATTGAAGACTTAACATTAAATTCAAATAAGGTTATTATCCTTATCGCAGGTGACGCGAAATTTGCATGATCGATGACACCATTCTTGACGAGCGAGCGCGAGAAAATGTGATTCACGTTGCCCAACCGCTCTCGCTCTGATATAAAAAAAAAAAGTGAACGCAATCAACTCGCCGTCGCTAAATTTAAATAACACCCGTAACTCGTGAAGCGAAATTTTCACGCATGATCGATAACACGGAGCCTCACGAATCGCAAAGGCGGAGATTGCGGTAGGCGATGCATACGAAATGCAGCTGGCAACAATTTTCGTTGTAATCGATCGGCTCGCCCACGCCAATCGCGCGAGCACAGCGGGAGCAAGATACGTTCGAGAAACCCGAGCAAGCTGACGTATGAGCCCCGTAATGGTTAATTATGGAAATGTCTTTGTTCCTTATTGAACGACTTCCTGGACTCGAGGCGTAATCCCGAATTGGTTCCTACGCTGCGAACTGCGCTATTAGGCGTTCGGTCGCGCGTACGTTGAAAGGAAACGCGGCCGAGTTTTGATTAACAGCAACTTTTTAGATTCCGAATTATTCGGCGTTTCAATTATCCAGAGCTACGGAACGCGGGATCTCGTAATCGCGTGATACAAGCGCGTGTGCGTAACAGGACGAGAAGAACGAAGCAGATGCGTGTAATGAGAACCTGCCAATTACCACTACCCAGATGTCATGAACTTACGATATCTATTGATTA